TTAAAAGACGGATAAAAGCATGCGAAAGTAATGTTTTTGTTTCATATAATTTAAAATTACAATAATTGACCATAAGTAGATAAACCTCTTTGAGTTTTTAATCCCATTTAACTTGATTCTTGAGTGGAATTCACACTATTTCATTATTCAGAACTTTGAAATGTATTCTTTGTAGCGGTCAAGGTTTCACTTTCTCACTCAATTTGACCCAGACCTAGAAACTAAGTCTGATCTATTTTCAGTTTAAGTGCAATCCTATGTTCAGACTTTAAAAAAACTCTCGTCTGTTTTTGTCAACAGTTCGAATTCAGACGTAAATTTTGTTTTCTATTACTTACCTATTTAATGATTTGCATTCAGGATTTGCATAAGGGGAGCTCGATGGCGCAAGTGGTTAGCGCGTTCGGCTGCGATCGTTGAAGTTAAGCCGTTAAGTCGGTCATTGGATGGGTGACCAAAAATTTACTATCTCGAGCTCCTCCGTGCTTCGGCAGGCACGTTAAGCCGTTGGTCCCGGCTGCATCAGCAGTCGTTAGAACCCACCAATCCACACTGGGCTCGCGTGGTGGGTCATGGCCCAATCTCCCTATTGACCCGTGCCCCAGCAGTGGGGGCATTAATAACTTTACCACAATTGCCAGCGAAATTTGGTATACCTCCAATGTTTATATATATATATATATATATATATATATATATATATATATATATATATATATATATATATATATATATATATATGTATTTACTAGTTTTTCTTTCTGTAATTTAAATATTCATTTTTTTTCAACGAATGTTTTATATCGATCGCTCGCTTCGCACGCTTCGCTTTGTGTGATCATAAATATGAAAGTTCCCAAAATAAGGCATTATGTCCAAAACCTGATTAGACCGTATTCGCCTTATAGCGTCTAGGATCAAATTACTTTCTCGACGGGGTGCCACATACTCCTGTATCAGTTATTAAAGGCGCAGAGTTATTAGTCAGCATAACGGATTGAATTAGATCGAAATTGCAATTTATGCTCCAGTATTAAATTACCATGAGAAAGTTCAGATATTGACAGCTAGATGAAATTGCTATGTTGGTAATGCTAACCATAATGGACATGTTAATTTTTTAAAATAGGTTTTAGCATTTAACTGCTAAATGTTTAAATCTAAAGAAAATACTACTAGAAAAATATGCACGCGGGCCAGGCAGCAGATGGGGTTCGAACCTGCAACCTCCGCTATCCGGACGGATGTAATGACCACTGTGCTGCCGCCCTAACGAACGTGTTGAATTCTTCCTAGTATTTCTTAGGGTGCAAGCTGCTTCAGAAAATAACAAGGTTGTTTCCAGGGATACGTACATTTAAACAAAAATCTACCTTATTGTTTTGAAATAGTTGCAACAAATTATGCTTATGGTGGTCAGGAATCGAATTGGCTGATCGTACATAAAATATCTATAAAATTGTTGAAATTCAATTCTTACATATTTTATTTTCGTCCCATATATCTACCGATGCACGACTTATAATATTTTTTTCTTATGAAAAATCATGTAATATTCTGCAACCTTATATAAAAACATTTGATTTAATCTAAGTCTGCAACCAATTGTCGAAAATCTAGTTTAATATCTTGACGTCGAATGGTAGTAGCAGATGTAGTTATGCAAATGAGGATGGGGGTATGCATATTGCCGGGACAAGCGACAGATAGGAATGGCGCAATTACAGTTATATGAGTCTGAAATCAAGTAAATACGCAAATACGTAATCTAAAAACTGAAAAGAAACTACCTAAAGATTTTTTCTTTTTTTTATAGATAGGTTCAACAAATGACCCCACCTGATGTTAAGTGACACCTAGTGAAGTTCAGACGCAAAGATAGCTGATACAGCAGTTCTGCCTGCCACACCAGCCATCCTCACCCTGCCGGCCTGCACGTTGCTTCTTCATGCCTCTTAAAGGATTCCAGATTGTAAGAGGGAGGGAACACGTGAGCGGGCAGAATATTCCATTTACGGATAGTGCGACAAAGAAATGAATAACCAAATTACTTTGTACGCGTTGGAATTGTGGCCACAGATACACACTTCGTCAGAAAACTTAGTGCTTTTAATTAGAACCTCAAGCCTGAGCCTATGAAATCGATCAAATCTTAGTACCGTACTGTATGATGTATCATATTTTTCTAATGAGGGTTTTCTGGAATTATGGGCGCCATGTGTAAACACTGAGTCGAGAGGTCTACTCATACGTCAAACCACGTATGGCGTCATATTCTATCTATGGATCAATTTAAGCTCGTTACAAATAATTCGCTCCAGAATCTTCATACAAAAGAGTGCATGTCACAGTGGCGTCAACTGATGACATAATTTTTCGAAACACCCTCCAATGCCCCCTCAGGTTCAAGTGGTTTAGAGTCTCCAGACGGACGGACGGACGGATGCCATCCGCCTGGAATACCTCTAGAGGCACTCGCCAATTCTCGGCTTGAGGTCCCCTTAGGATCTCGCCGTCCCCAAACCCGGTGACACTGTAAAGGTCAACGGCGACCGATAGACACATACACACTCAAAAAAAACCTACCAATGAGGGTGTTTCGGTTTCAACCCAATTATTACCAAATAAATAATTTATAAATAGACATCCTAGACTTACTTCAAATATCATCGGCTAAGTATATGCTGATGCAAGCAGGTAGGTACTACAACCACCTTCAAGATATCTGTAAAAGATTTTCAGGTTGGAATAAAAATAGTAACAAACCTCGCCAAACTTTTAATTTAATTGAGCGCTACTGCAACAGACTTCGCGCGTCTTCCATTCAGAGATTTGGCTTCAAAGAAACCGGCGCGCTCTACATGTTAAAATTTAAGAATATATTCAGCGGTTTTCTATACCAGCATGTCATACAAACTGAGCATATTCAAAAGATTTCATTACCTACTTCCTCTTTATTTTACCATTTTATTTTATTTTTTTCTTTCCATTACTATCCTGATAAATATATTTATAGAACACCGAAAGAGATTATCTAATCGAGATTACACATTACAGAGGTATTTCTATTTTGAATACTGCTGCTAAGATACTGGAAAAAATACCTGAGCAGCAACACGGGTTTTTGAAGGGGCGATCCACTGCTACTAACTTAGCATGTTTTACGAATTTTGTTCTGGAAAATGTGGAGGGGGGAGGGCAGGTTGACGTGATCTACACTGATTTTAAGAAAGCTTTCGATTGTGTGGATCACGTGATCCTGCTAAAAAACTAGAAGTGCTTTGTATCCATGGGGACTTGCTCCGTTGGGCTCACACTTGGACCCGCTCTTCTACAATGCTTACCTCTATGATATAGGTTCATGCTTAGAACATTCTAATTATCTCATGTATGCGGGTGACAAAAAGTTTTTTTATCTAATTAAGACTGTTCAGGATTCACCATTGTTGCAAAGTGATCTGAATCGCTTATCTGAATAATAAATACAACAATAATAATATAACCGTTAATACAGCTAAATGTGAATGTATCTCTTTTACAAGGAAAAGAAAGCCTATTATCATTAATTATTTTAGTGGACAAAATATTACCAGAAAGCCGATTATGAGCGACTTAGGAGTACATTTTGATCAAAAAATTATACTTTCGGATCACATTGAAAGCAAGTTATGAAGGCGTATAGAAACCTCTGCTTTGTACTTCGTGTGTGTGTAAGCCATTTTCAGGGATACCGGTAATTAAAACAGTTTATTTCGCATATGTAAGAAGCAATTTAGAGTTAGAAAATTTCTGTCAAACATATTAGCTTTCACTGTAGTAAAGCCTTTAACAATTACAAGGATGGTTGTTCTAAGCATGGTCTCCTTTCATTAAAACAGAGGCGTATTGTGTTGGATACGGGGCTACTGCATGACAAAGTTAATAGTAAAATTGATTGCCCACATCTGATAGCTAAAATAAACTATCGTATACCTAAATACCGAACCCACAATACAACCGTTTTTCAGGTTCCACCGTGCCGCACAAACTATCTACAGAACTCAGTTCTGCTGCGACTCGCTCAAACTTATAACCAATGTTTTAATAGCGTCGAAATCTTTTCAAATAGCAAGGAAAAAATTTAAATAGAGGTTGTTAAAACACTAAAAGGAGTCTGATCAGTGAACGCGTTAGTGTAGAAATATGTGGATATCGTTTTTTTTTTGGAATATAAGTGTGTGTGTATCTGTGTTTATGTATAATTATGGGAGTGTGTAAATGTATTAATGTCTTTCTACATGTTAAAACTCCTTGGAGTTACTTGTTTGTATATTGATTTTTTTCTCATGGCTGTTACTTAATTTATTCGTTGGCATATTATGATTCATCTCTGATGTATACTTACTATTATTAAATTAAGAGAAACCTGTAATTGGCCATTCTTACCTGTACAATACTATTTGTTGATGTATACGCTGTTGGTTTTCTTAATTAAATAAAATAAAATAGCCTGCGCGTAAGGCCTAATACCTAAGGAAAAGGACATCTAAACAAAAGCCTATCTGTAATACTATTGAAGCCTGCGACATCAAATCACTCGTTTCTTATTCCGCAGACTCCCTTTGAGCTTATTTCTCAAAACAGAACCTACGTTTTATTACATGTTATGTTTCTGTTACGAGTAACTTTTAATTTAGTACTATTTTCAGTCTTCACCATCATCATACTATTAATGTTGCTTACTACAAGAGCACAGGCTTTCCTTATGGATAAAATAGGGAGTTTGGGCTATGACATGATCAACCATGCGGGTCCAGTGCGAATGGGCGGCTGCTAAAGACTGCAGATGCAGCCGCGACCAATGGTTTAACGGGCCTTCCGAGGCACGGAGGAGCTTGAACTAATAAATTTTTGGTCAGCCATCCGATGACGTTGTTTAACTTCCAATACGGCAGACCAATCGCGGTTACTACCACTTGTACCATCGAACTTCTCAGCGTTATATAATTCATATTTTTTAGGTCCGAAGAGTAGGCCTTGGCACAGGCCCTCAGCCGACATTCGACCTAACGGATCCCTACTGCAACAACGTATCATACGACTACGTGCCGATGCACGACCCACACCTGGCTCACCACTTCGCGCAAAAACCAGCCAGAAAAAGAATGAAAGAGCTTGGCTTTTGCACTAAAGACGGAAGAGCTGTCTGCACCTTGAAGGAGTTCAATCAGTACAGAAAGTATCTTTACAACCAATTCATGGACAGGATCCATCAGGAGATGAAAATGCTGGTAAGTTGAAACTGGAATAATCTAACCATTTACTACACTACAATAGAATATAAAAGTCTAGTCCAACAAAAGGTTGATATGAAGTTAGTTCGCATATAGTTTTTTAAACATAAAAAACCTATGTGCGAACTAATTAAAGCTATTATGCCTTACAAAATATTTTTAATTGTCGAGTTGATAATAGCACATATTATGATAGTTCTTGACATTACCTTTTATTTTTCTATAAAGGTTATAAATTAATATAATCATGAAACCAATAAATTGATTACCAAAATTCAAACTTTCCGTTTGGAAAGTATTAAATAATAATAAAATTGGTGATTGTAATGTTTGACATTTGTGAAAGGATGAACGAGCTCGTGACGACTTAACCCTTAAACGCGTAGAAATAGATGTGGCGCGGCGACTGCAAATCTTCACCAAGGCCGAGCGAGCTAGGGAACACCTGGAGAAGGCCGCCCGGGAACACGCCGACGAATGGGCCGAGAAAAGACGACAGTAAGAGTTTTACCATATTATCTTCTTCTTCCTCAACCTTTATCTCCCCAGTGCTGGGTATAGGTCTCCTCCGTGGTGCGCCAATTGGCTCGGTGTTGTGCGATCTGGATCCAGTTCCTTCCCGCTTCTTTAGTGCTGTCATCAGACCATCTGGCGGGCTGCCTCCCCACGTTTCTGCTTCCTGTTCAGTCTAGTTTCATACCAATTACATCAGGTTTTCTACAGGGTTCACCTTGGACTATTGTTTTATAACATTTTCATATATGATGTAAGTCATTGTTTTCAAAATTACAGATTCTTGCTATTTGCATTATTATATTTTCCATTATTGAATCCGTTAAAGATTGTGTTAGACTTCAGTAAGATCTGGATCGTTTGTGTGATGATTACTGTATTATATTGTTATTAGGTCGCCAACACACAATAGCTCGACTCCGACTGTCGTCTGTTCTGCCAGTCACGATGCTTATATAATATATCACTTTGAAGTTTTTTATGTGTGTGATAGATAAGATGTTCATTACTTATTCACTCATCGTTGTCATCATAATCAGTATATCAATGTCCCAACAGCTGAGACACAGACCTTCTCTGTCAATGAAATAGGGAGGGTGGAGCTATGACAGTGGCCCATTGCAGGTTGCTGCTAACGACTGCAGATGCAGTCAGGACCATCGGCTTAACGTGCTTTCTGAAGCACGGAAGACCTCGAGATATCACATTTTTGGTCACCCATCCTATAACTGCTCATTGAGAAAGTTGTTTAACTTGCACGATTGTAGACCGAAGCGTGCAGCATCGAACTCGTCGATTACTCAAGAATGACTATTTTGACACACATGGAGACCGGTAGTTTATTGGATTTACTAAGGGTTCAATTTATTTCAAAATAAAGTTTCCTGGGAGATTTTGAAAAACGATCAACACACCAAACAAACATCAAAAGGTAACTGTTGTATGTAGTTGCATTGGTCCACGGGTAGAACCTTTAATTAAAGGTTCTCTAGAATTTTTCACTGCTGAAACTCATTCGTATGAATAACGAAACGTCCATCCAATAGGAATGATGAGTAACTTTTGTTTCTTCGTCCATCAGGTAGGTTATCAAAAAATATTGGACGCGTATCTTTTCTTTATTCATATTAATTCAAAACATGACAGAGATTATGTCGATTTAAAATATCGCATGATATCACGTCTTGATACAAATTCAGAACCCCCAATGTCAAAAATTGACTCGCTCTTTATTTGTAATTTATTGGTTGATTGAAAAAAGAAAAAAAAAACATGTTCATTATTTTTTGATTATCTAACTGACGGAATCTGTTAAGTTTACCCCATCATCATCCCTATTACACTATTCTGTTCCCGGAATGACTTGAGGTTGTCAGAGAATATGATTAAACTTAATAATGATGTAATAACTGATACTAAATACGATATTAATGCAATTTTCGATATAATTAACCTTCACTTTATTGGACCTGAGGATGTAATGTTACTATCCCTACAAATAGCGAGCGGATACGAAGTGAAACACCGTAGAAGAAATACAATTCGTATACTGATAATAATTAACGAGATATTAACAATAATTGTATTGGAAAAGACGGAAGGACGAGTGACGTGGAGTTGTGTGCGAGGTGATTCGTAGCACACTGCGCTGCCGGCCAAGCGACTGGGAGCAGGTTCCAGACCGGTCCGCGTCTCCCGCATACCGCGCCCCGCGACATACGCGTTCGTGACGTAGCCGCTGTTAGTGATGAGGGCACGACGACGCGTAGTGATGTGCCACACCACCCCCCTGGGAGAATCAATACCCTGCGGAAAAATAATGAGGGAATTTAACATGTCGCCCCGTACGAGTAGTTTTGACAGGTTCGGGCTCAGGGCGATTTGTAGGATTATTTGGTGGTGCATTCTTCGCTTCCGTCAGAACGAATGCTGGTTTGGTTCTGTCTATTGAAACGGTAACCGGTCCTCTATTCAATTCAACAGTTACTGTTTTCTCTGTCCGTTTCAAAACTTTATGAGGACCACTATATGGAGCTTCCAAAGAACCACGTAAAGCATCCTTTCTGAGGAATACGTACTGTGCTGTTGGTAAGTCTTGGTGGACAAAAATGGTTTTCTGACCATGTCGCGATGCTGGCACTGGCTTCAAGCGTGACATATGAATGCGCAGATTAGACACAAAGTCTGATGGCTGAGGTAACTGGGAGTTATTAGAATGGAGGAACTCACCAGGAATCCGAAGAGGCTCACCATATACCATCTCAGCAACAGAGCATTGCATGTCGGACTTCCAAGCAGTACGCACTCCAAGGAGTACTGTAGGCAGCACGTCTGTCCATCGTGTAGTCTCGTGGGCCATTATCGCAGCTTTTAACGTCCGGTGAAAACGCTCCACCATTCCGTTCGCCTCTGGGTGGTAAGCTGTGGTATGACGTAGTCGAATTCCGCAAAGATCTGTCAAAGATTTGAATAAATGCGAATTAAATTGACGTCCTTGGTCAGTTGTCACAGTTTCCGGACACCCAAAGCGTGTTACCCAAGCATCATAGAAAGCTTTAGCTACGGATTCAGCTGTAATATTAACAAGTGGTATGACTTCTGGCCATCTGGTAAACCTATCCACAGCCGTAAGACAGTATCTAAAGTCATTGGACGGTGGGAGTGGACCTATTAAGTCAATGTGTATGTGACTAAATCGGTGGGCAGTTAATGGAAAGTCAGCTGTGGGAGAAGAGGTATGTCTCTGTACCTTAGATCTCTGGCATGATATGCAACTTCTTACCCAATCACGACAGTCTTTTTTCACAGAAGACCAAACAAATCGGTCGGTGATTAGTTTTGTAGTGGGCTGAACTCCGGGATGGCTCATGTTGTGAGCATTGTCAAAAATAAAACGGCGCAGCTCCTTCGGAATGTATGGACGGGGTCTCGACTGAGAAACGTCACAGTAAAGGGTAATATCCGTACCTGGTACTGGAACTTTCTGAAGTTTCAAGGAAGAAGAATTATTTTCCAATAGCTCACGAATTTCTGGATCGTTATGCTGCTTCTGTGCTATCGTTTCAAAATCAGGAGGGATAGATATAACCTCTACACGAGACAATGCATCAGCAGTTATATTTTCTTTGCCCGAAATGTGCTTAATGTCTGTGGTAAATTGGGAAATAAAATCCAAATAATTGAACTGCCTTGGGGAACATTTCCGATCTTTTTGCAGGAAAGCATAAGTAATAGGCTTGTGGTCTGTAAAAATTGTAAAGTGACGGCCTTCTACTAAATAGCGAAAATGCTTAACGCTCTCATATATTGCAAGCAATTCACGGTCATAAGCACTATACTGCTGCTGAGCTCTGTTTAATTTTTTTGAAAAGAAAGCTAACGGTTGCCAACTACCTTCTACTAGCTGTTGTACTACCGCGCCTAGTGCTACGTTAGAAGCGTCCGTTACAAGCGCAAGCGGTGCGTTATGCAAAGGATGTGCTAAAAGAGCTGACCTGGAGAGACTTGCCTTACACGTCTCAAATGCAGACAGCTGTTCTGGTGTCCAGGTCAACGGTTGAGAACTCTTGTTCTTTCCTCCAGCCAACATATTGTGTAGCGGTGCCTGATCTTCTGCAGCATGAGGAATAAAACGCCTATAAAAATTTAGCATTCCTAAGAAACGCAACAGGCCTCCCACAGTCTTGGGTGGGGGAAATTCCTGGATAGCTGCTACTTTCTCCTCCGTAGGCTTTGTACCCGATGCAGAGATAGAGTAACCAAGAAATGTTACCTTAGTTTGGCCAAAACTGCACTTAGCTTCGTTGACGAGGATCCCATATTCTTGTAGGCGGCTAAATACCTTCTCCAGGTGTTCCAGGTGCTCGGAATTATTTCTGGAAAATAGAATTATATCGTCTAAATACGAAAAGCAACAATCTAGATCTCGAAGAACCTCATCAATAAACCGTTGGAACGTTTGAGCTGCGTTCCTCAAACCAAACGACATAAACGGAAACTCGAACATTCCAAAGGGGGTAGTTATAGCCGTTTTGGGTATGTCGTCCTTGAAAACTGGTATGTGATGATAAGCTTTCACTAGGTCTATTTTTGAAAATATTGTGCAGCCAGCTAACCGATGTGAGTAATCCTGGATGTGAGGTATGGGATACCTATCTGGAATAGTTCTGGCATTGAGAGCTCGGTAATCGCCACATGGTCTCCAGCTGTCTCCCTTCTTGGGTACTAAATGAAGAGCTGAAGCCCAGGGTGAGTCAGAACGTCGAGCTGTACCATCTCGAAGCATCTCCTCAAATTGTTCCTTGGCTATTTTCAAGCGATCTGGCGCCAAACGTCGAGGCCTGCAATAAACTGGGGGTCCAGGCGAAGTGCGAATATAGTGCACCGTATTATGCTTGACTTCGCGAAATACACCTGGTGGCTTTGTCAGCGATGGGAATCTAGCTAATAAAGTGTGGTACTCACTTTTACCCGCGATCGCCTTGATACTATGCAGCTGACAGGGTTTACTCGTAACAGCCGTTGAGAGGGTAGTTAGACTATCTAATAAACGACCATTCTTACAATCGACCAGCAATCCATAATGAGCGATGAAGTCCGCCCCTATGATAGGCTTGTCCACATCAGCTACTACGAAATTCCATGAAAAATCGCGGCGAAGTCCCAGGTTAAGACGCATCTTCATCAATCCGTAAGTACGGATGCTGGAACCGTTGGCTGCTGTGAGGCTGTAATCAGTAGGTGTTACATATGCACGTAAAAATCTACGAGGCAAAACACAAAGATCGGAGCCAGTGTCGATTAAATATTGAATTTTGCTTTCTTTGTCAGTAACAAATGGGCGACGGGTAGTTGCATGACAGTCGGCTGTCGCCATTACTGACCGTCTCGCGAGTTTTCCTTATAATTGCAAGGATGGATACATTTACTAGCCTTTTCAGCAAATTTGTAGTGGTACCAACACATACCCGACTTCCTAATCTGAC